ATTACAACTGACACAGCGCCATTGCTAAGAACTAAGGCAGCAGTTAATAAACGAATTCCCAAAGGAATATCTGGGCCTATTAGTTCAGAAAACCAGAGAAAGAAAATTTGATCTGAAGATTCGGGATGTCGTCCTTATCAGTTTAGGTAATAAAAACCGATTGACTTGGTCAATGGGAAGAATAGAAAAGATTTTTCCGAGTAGAGATAATTCTTCTCGAGTGGCCAGAGTAAGAACAAAGAATGGTTCTTTGGTGAGATTTGTTCAAAAGCTGTATCCCCTAGAAGTCTCAAGTGCAACCAGAAAGAAGTCTCTGTGGCAGACCTTTAAAACATCCTAAAAAACTTTTACAGACATTCATTTCGTGTTTTCAGACTTTTTCATCTTATATTTCGGTTTGGGGACTTTGTTTTCTGTTTATGTATATATATATATATATATATATATATATATACATAAACAGAAAAACAAAGTCCCCAAACCGAAATATAAGATGAAAAATATATATATAATATATATATATATATACATAAACAGAAATATATGTATATTATGTATATATATATATATACATAAACAGAAATATGTAATCCATATATATATTTTATAATAAGAAATCTTTCCATATACCATCTCCAAGGAACACAAATTAAATTTAAAACCATGAAAGAAAAAAATTTTTGGAATGTAAATAGCATTTGAAATAGTAATTAAACTCTTGTTTATAAATCGGCTAAGAAAAGTCTTTAATCGCAAAAATCCAAAACTAAAATTAAATTTTAAATATTGAATAAGCAGCTATTGTCATTGATCGCAGATTAATCGACTTATCAAGGGGATAAACTAATCTACCATCAATCAACAGTAACTAAATTAAGAGAGTGTTTCATCTTGCGTCCAAGTAAGCATCAAATTATTTGCTAGATTCAAACCATAAGTACAACTAATACTCAATCTAAATAAAGACATTAGTCCATTTAAGCCATAAGAATCTTGTAAAACAAACTAGCAAATAACCTTTGAAAATGAGGAGTAAAGGGTTACCAGCGAGGATATTCCATTTGGCATCCGGTTGTACCATTATTGCCGACTTTATCGCCTGCGCCGGCAAAATGGAAAAGTACCGATTTTTATTTTAGTTTAATATTTTGAAAATGATATTGTTAAAAATGTGATCTCAACTGTTATAAAAATCGTTTTCTTGATCTTTATTGAGTCGATGGAATTCTGATGAATCTTTTGCTGACTGCAGAATTCAGATAATGTGTCTGTTTCTTTAGCTGAGTGTAAAAGGAGGGAAAAAACTCCTTTCTGTGTAAATAAATCTCTGCGTTGATATTACCAAAATTTGTATTCCTTTCTAGAAGAAGCACATTAGTTTTTACAGATAAGTGAATTACTTCCTTTGCCTTTTATTAAATAAAATACAGGTCCGTGTCGTGATATACAAAACAATTATTAGCCCAAAGGGGCTATTAGTCATAGTTTCACTTTCTGCGTTGATTCACTTTTCAAACTGTTGCCACCAAATATTATCGCCGTTTATCATATTTAAAGAAACTAAATAATGAAGAATCTTCATTGAATGCATGAATGTTTCTCGCACTGCGAAAAAACAACGGTACCTAGAGCCATCAAATTTTGAATAACGTGTATTTCTCGTATTGTGACAAAACAACGGTATTGTCACAAATCGTATTGTGACAAAACAACCAAACATGGTCATTTAGAATCCCGAATTTTTAATTTGTTTTGTTATCTTTTTCAAATTTTTTAAAACTTTAAATGAATTTTTAATTAATAAACTCGACGATTTCAAAGCGAGCAATGACAATATTGTACAGAAAAAAAAAGACATTTTTATCTCTTTTTTATCATATAAATAGACAATAAGACACATTTTAGATTCGGGCTTCTAGGTGCGCATGTTCGGGTGATGGACTACGGTCGTTCAAAATTTGATGACTCTACGTACCGTTGTTTTTTCACGGCGCGAGAAATATCATTACATTCATGAACATTCTTCATTATTTATTTTCTTTAAATATAACAGAGAGCGATAATATTTGGTGGCAACAATTTAAAAAGCGATACATCGTATTTAAGCTATTCAACGCAAAATGTCGTTCCTAGACTAATATCCCTTCTGGGCTAACGCTCCTTTGGGCCAAAAACTAACGCTTTTGAGAACATAAATAGTAGCAAGTAATAATGAATGTAATAAATATAGTGGGCAGTAAAATGTCAACAAATCGAAATGGAAAATATCAGAAATATTGATGAAACTGGTACAAAAATAGTTAAGCTAACCTAGCATACCATGTGAGCAGCAATAAAACATTAAAAAAATGCTACCAAACATTAAGATCCTTGATATAAAAGTTGGCCCACACCTCTTATATCAAAGCATTCAATATCGCATACAAAAAGGCTGCTATTACTCCATATCAAACATATACATTTCTCAAAACAGCTGAAAATCAATTAAATCCGTAATGGTCGTAGATGTAGCTTGTTAGGTTTTAAAAGCTCCGAAAAGCATTTAACCCAAGCTGTGTTAAATATTATTTTAGGAAGGTGGTACTTTTTTAAATTCCTTTTAAATTAATTTACCAAAAATTAGTATTGGTGATGATAACTGAAATCAAGTTACAGAAATGTCTTTTTTAGTTTAATTAATGGCAGAATTAAAACCGAAGAATAGTTTGAGTTGATAAAATTTTATATAGGGACGAATCAAGAAAAAGAAAAATAAATTTAAAAAATCTGAAACCTTCAGATTTTACATTACGTCCAAAGGGACTTTTTTTTAACGTTTTGTGTGTTACCTTTATTTATTAAATTTCATGCTCTTCGCTGTTAAATCGTAAAATTCAATTCAACAGTAATATCGCAAAATAAATAAAAAGAGCATATCTTTAGAATTTCGAAACACAGTCTCGCGCGCTGGAGATAAAAATGATTTTTTTTTTCGTATAGTGTGGCCATTGTTAGCTTTCAAATCGTCGAGATTGTTAATTAAAACAATTCGGTAAAAATGTTACAAAATATGAAATCGATAATAAAAGAAATTCCAAATTAGGGCTTCCAGATGCCCATATTCAGTAGAGGATTACGTTACTCAAAATTTGATGGCTCTGGATACCGTTGTTTTATCACAATACGAGAAATATACATGTATTTATGCAGATTATTCATTATTTAATATCTTTAAATATATAACACAGGGTGATAATATTGGGTAGCAACAACTTGAAAGTGAAATGGACATTTAAAGTTTTCAGCGCACAATGCCAAAACGAAATTTATAGCTCTTCTAAACTAGCGCCCTTTGGGCTAATAAAAAAGAGAAGAAAAATTTTAATAATAAAATCTAGAAAAGAAACTGACGATGCAATACTATATTAAAATGCAAGGAAGCATTTGAAAATTATGCAGTGAGTAAAGACACACGTCTCTCTACCATTCGTTTAATAAAAATAAAGTAAGTTTTAATTATTTGCCTGTTTTTATTATATTTATTCATTTTAAAATTTCTTCACGTGTATTTAATTAATTATATGTAATTTTTTATGTCTTCTTTGAGAATTTTAAAATCTCTTGCACGCAAATTCGTGTCTAGATATCACATTTCTGTTTAATAAACGTACTCCTGTTACGAATAAAAGCCTTGATCTCGTGAATGTCCAGTAGTGGAAGGTTTGGCTGCATATTGTTGATCTGAACATGTTAGTTCACGAGTTTATTTGTAATTTTATAGAGTTTGGTCTTCTTAAGGTAACATAAACTAGACGAACTCTTGTAAAGACTGGTGGCGACTATGTGCTTTAAGTACCACGAAGAGAGGGAAAGAATGTAAAGGACCCTTTTATTTGAATAAAATAAAAGTTTAAAAGGGCACCAGCTCGTTCTTATAGAAGCTGACAGTTATGGCTTAAATTAAAGATAATGGATTAACTAAAATTAAGAAGTAAGTTAGCCTAACGCTTTCACGATTGGAATAACGCGCAAGCTGGCTCCGCTATGTCGGCATAACAAGCCTAATGGCCAGAATAACTCAACGCCGCAGAATACGATTCGCAAGTGAATGAAATTAGCAACGTGGCCTTCTTTCTATCTCATTTGAATATTACGAGAGCTAGGAATTTACATCCTGGCAAGGAAATTTGGTACTTTTCCGTTTTGCCGGCGCAGGCGATAAAGTCGGCAATAATGGTACAACCGGATGCCAAACGGAATATCCTCGCTGGTAACCTTTTACTCCTCATTTTCAAAACAAGTCGTAGCGATTTCATATCAGATTGATTGTTTCTTTCAATCCTGGCATACAATTACGTGGAATTTTTACCAAATAGTTAAATTTTTTGGCCTAAGGCCATTCGCATGCGGTAATTAAGCCAATTAGGATGCAATGGCACCGCTCACCCGACGTCGAAAATATGTAAAAGGCAAAGTCAAGGGTTAAATTCATCAGTTCTAATGAGAATGCACTAGCGAAGTAAAGCACTGCGGTTTTATATAATTTCTGAGTAAGCTATTGGTACGAATTGAAATAATTCTTGTATTTAAACTTGTACTTCAAATTAAGATTTAACTTGAAATTGATGTAGATAATTACTGGGAGAATTAGATTTTTGTAGCATAGTTTAAGTGAGATGAGATCATTTGGGGTCACGTGATATGAACCGGAGAATGAGGATGTTGTACCATGACAGCATAGTAAATTCTTAAATTAATGTCTTTTTACAAATTGATTGTCTTTATTTATTGGCTTTTTTACAAGATTTTAAACCACATTAAAATGCTTATACCTTCAAAATAAAAATTCTTAGAATTAACATTTGTCAACCTTTTTTATGTGTATACTGTGTGTTGTCGCTAAAAGTCTGCTTGGCGAGATTCGCGCCGGCGAAACGGAAAAATACCAAACATTTAAATGAGGGCGATAGGATTGTTAATTAACAAAAAATAACTGGTTAAAAATTTGAACGTAAGCTCACCTAAGGAAATCCGGTGCTTTGGATATGATACTCTGGAACTCCATGAAAGATAATTTTCCATCGTCATCATTATCACCCTCTTCCAGTACTTTCTCAACCACTAGATTTACTTCTTCTGAATTCAATTCACTTCTCGTTAATGCAATGGTTGCTTGCTTAAGGTCATCGGGCCCAATAAATTTGTCCCCGTCGTAATCTAAAAAATAATAATTATAGTAATTTCTTGTTATTTTTCTGTCATCAGGACCAGATTCAGAAATGTATGCATGCATGCATGTATGTATGTATGTATGTATGTACGTATACTTGTGTGTACTCTTACATATATATGCGTACATCTCTGAAAATCCGGTCCCGATAACAGAAAGTGCCAGTTTCTTCTAACGTTAAGCGCGGCGCCGGTACCTGGGGACCGGCAGAGAACTTTCCGTGTGGCCGGCGTCGGTCCCTAGGGACCGGCACTGGAGTTTTCGTTTGGCTGGCGTCGGTCCGCGGGACCGACAGTATTAAATTTAAAAAATAAATATAGTCTCAATGAAATGTGATCAAATTTAGTTTTAATGAAATGTATTGAAACATTCTAAGCAAAAATACGGCCTAGCTCGCTGTCGGCTAAACGGAAAGGACAGCAAATTCGGCTCCGCGCTCAACGTGTTAAGTAACAAATGCGTAGTTTATAAGAAGGCAAAAAAATCTGATGATTCAAACATTTGGCTTCCAGATATTTAGAAAACGTGTCAGTGATTTTTATTTTCGTATTATATTAGCAGATATTTATTATCAAATACTTTTTTCCCATTTGCTCTATAAAAAAAGTGCAACTAAATTGTTTTCGATCTGTTTCCTTAGAATTTATATTCCCACATAAGTTCTTTAAATAATAGGAAACATGTAAAAATATATTTAATAGAGAGGAAAATTAAATTCAAATTAACAAATTCCAGAATAAAGGCACTGCTGACTATTATGCAGCTCTTTACGTTAGCACTTGCATCCTTTCGTAGTGATAAAGACAACACCGGAAGAAACAAAAACCATACTTAACCACTCCAGACTAAATGTTACTAAATTAGCTTAACTTCAAAACTAGATTCTCATTTACTATATTCGAGATAAAAGTTTTAGATTATTTAAACATTTGTCATATTTGTGACTCTACAGAAATGCTGCAATTTGTAAAACCTAAAGGCAAGTTAAAGTGTTCCTAAAATGATCTAAAAGCAAAACAACTACTAGCTGATCGGTCACCCCACACACACACCGCCAAAAAAAAAGTCAGTCTTAGTCTCTTTGCGCTAAATGCACCAAAGCATACTATGCGTTTGAATGCACCAACATTGCAAATAAATAAATACCTAAGTGCTATATTTGCGCTAGGCTAACTTTTAAGTATCCCAAATATCGAATAAGATCTTAAAAGAACTAAAAACTAAAAGGCCTCGGATTTTAAATTACGTCCAAAGGGACTTTTTTTAACATTTTGACTGTTACCTTTATTTATTAAATATCACGTTCTTCGCACTTAAACCATAAAATTCAGTTCAAGAGCAATATCGCAAAAGAATATTTAATTGAGCATATCTTTAGAATTTCCTATATACAGTCTCACGTGCTGGAGATAAAAATGTTTTTTTCTGTTTTGCCATTGCTCGCTTTGAAATTGTTGAGTTTGTTAATTAAAAACTCGTTAAACTTATAGAAAATATGAAATCGATAATAAAACAAATTTCAAATTTGGGCTTGCAGATGCCCATATTCGCAGTAGGATTACGTCATTCAATATCGGATGGCTCTAAGTACCGTTGTTTTATCCCAATGAGGGAAACATACATACATTTATGCATATTCTTTATTGTTTAATTTTTTCAAATATGATACAGGGCATTACTATTGGTTGGCAACAGTTTCAAAAGTGAAACGGACATTCAGAGTGATTCGACGCAAAATTGCAAAACGAAAACAATAGTCCCTCAGTGACAAAGCCCCTTTGGACTAAAAATTAAAGCACTGTATTTACTTCACATAAAAGTAAATTTAATTTAAAAACCAAAGGAGTAACCGCTGCAATGTGTTTATTGCATAAGACCCAAATTCTATTTTAGCGATTAGGATACACATAAAGAATTTGGTTGCGTTAAATTTCATAAATTCTTATTTCATTATTAGTACATTCTCTTTCTTCTAAATATTCGAGGATATTAACAAAAGATTTGAATATAGGACAATAGAAAAGTAATTGGGCGATTAATAGAATATTTTCGGAATGGTTGAAAATCGAATAAAAACCTTGAAATATGCAAAATCTTTTTGTTATAATTTGTAATAATTAGAGAAATATTAGACTGATACTATTGACGTATTATGCGTTCTTAAATCAGGCTTTCTTCCAAATTTATAAATGTTTGAATTTTAATGTAACTATCAAATTTATTGCGCTATCAAGAATTCATTTTATATGCATTTTAAACGATCGATAGAAGTTTTCACCATGAGAAAAATGCAATGGAAGAATTGATTACGCGAACGACACAACCAAAGATCCCCTCTCCAAAGTCCTGCATTAAAAAAGAATGAAAATCAAATAAAAAAAAGCAAGATCACATCTCCTTCCTTTTCGAATGAAATTGGAAAGAGTGGATTTTTATCAATATTTGCTCAATAGCATGCGCTGGCCAACCCCCTCTGAACGAATGATTTTCCTTGGTCTCAGGGATATAGCCATAGGGAAAGAATTCAATAAACTCAGATCCCGAAATTGGATTTTATCTATTTTTTTTATATATATTATTATTAAGGGACGGATTTCATGTGTTTGCTTCGCAAATAATATCATTCATATACGGGTTTTGAAAAATATTATGGACTCTTTTGAGCTTATTTTTAGACGCTTTTCTAAAATATTCATCTATCTATATGGTTTTTCCCGTTTTTATACCCTTTTTGTCTTCCTTAACATAAATTTATGAAAGGAGATAGTTTTTCAGACATTTCCGAAATGTCTTAGTGATCATTTAAACTGTATCACTATGCAACATAAAATATAAAACGAAACGTTGTGCGTAAGATAGTATATAAATACTTTACTTGTTTACGTGTATCTGATTGAGGAATAAATACTTTACTTGTTTATGTGTATCTGATTGAAGAATAAATACTTTACTTGTTTATGTGTATCTGATTGAAGAATAAATACTTTACTTGTTTATGTGTATCTGATTGAAGAATAAATACTGTTGCGTGGGTACGGGTTCGTTACGAAATGAATGAACAAGTCCGATGAAAAATGAACAAAAATTTATTATTATCACAACAAAAATGCTTAAATCTTCTCAAATTATCATGCAGTATTACAATATCTCACAGTAGTTATCTTTTAACTACTCAAATGTCCAATAGAACGTAATTCAAAACAGCTAAAGAAAGCTAATCCGCGAATTCACTACAATCAACAAGAGCAGTTTTCTAAACAACAACAAACTAAGCAACTACTACAAAATGAGATGTTTTCCTCCTTTTATAAGATTTTTAAAATCACGCGCTAGAATTTTCCAGTACTTTCTCGAAATCAAAAAAGATATTTATTTATTTAATGCAATGCACGCTCTCTTGTATTTTCAATTTCGGCTTAGCTTTTCTTAGCTTTCTTTTAATATTCGTCACGCGCTGCACTGCGCGAGAAATAAAACCATTTAATTTATAATTGAACTAACATTAGCTTTTTAAATACCAAATTCGTAACACTGCTCCCTTCCCAAGGACTGCACGTCCCGGGCAGTACAATCCCTGGACAGGAAGCTAAACTTACAACTGTGGCAAAAATGGAACTGATATGCCGTGTGAGGCATAAACATTACATTACAATATCAAACAACATGAATGATAAATGCAATAACTAACTTAAACAAATGAAATGCTAAATGCATATCAAATACTAAATACAAATCAAATCAAATACACATTTAAAAACAAAAAGGACCATGGTCTTATACTATTTATAATTATTTACATTACGCACTATGGCCATAGTAATGAGCTAACCTGTCGTAATGAACGATTTTAGGTTTAGAGTTCCGACGGATCTGAACCACGACGTCATTCAGCCTGTTTAAGACTGTGTGGTGACCATCCCAAGGTGACTGTAATTTAGGTGTGTGTGTGTGTGTGTGATTATGGCAAAGCCTCGAGGGCTATCTGCCTAAGGGAAGGGATGCCTTCGTGGAGGACTTTCTAAGGGAAACTGGCTCGTATACACGTTACACATGGGGAAAACCACGAAAACGCCCATGCAGCCAGCCCGTTCGCGGGATTCGAACCTCGGACCGAACTACCAGTGTTCAGCGACTTTACCGCTCGGCCGCTGGTGGGCCCCTGTAATTTAGGACTAAGTCCTTTTCGTTGAATTGGCTTCCACAACCACACCTTGTCTCCTTTGTTGGATCTATGTCTAGTAGCTCTCCTGTTGTATCTGGACTTCACTTTCTCCGTCGCCAGGCTGACTCGCTTTCGTACGGAACGGTGCATCACTTCAAAACGGGCCTGGACATCTTGGATGTATTCCTCAGGCGATGAAGGCGCATCCGTATGGCGATCAAACAGGCGGTCACAAGAAAGACGAAGGTCCCTACCGAAGAGCATTTGTGATAGAGAACAGTTGGTAGTCTTGCGTTTCTTTTCGACCCTAGTATGATTTCGGCAGCTTCCCGAGCTGGGTCTTTCGGACAATGCGTCGGCATTTCCAGGTGAGGATCCCTTCTGAGGATGGATAGTCATGTCTTCAGATCCTAAAAGCAGTTTATTGTTTTTGAAGTCTAAGGGAAAATTGTATTTCCTTAAAAAGTCCAGTCCGAGTATGCATGGATCTGTAATATCCGCCACATATGCCGTGTGATGGTAGGCGGCACTTCCAAACGTGGTGTTCACGTTTAACTTCCCAGCTATGTCGATCTTGTCACCACACGCAGTCTGAAGGGTAACAGAGGATGGTGTCCAAATAAGTTTATCTTTAAACTGTTGAGCTAAATCTCTCTGAATGATGGTAACATTAGCTCCTGTGTCAATGATCATATTGCAAGGAACTCCATCGACATGGCCATTAATGGACAGTCCGTTACTGTTGCCACTCACTGTAGAAATCTTGAGCGCTTTAAAACAAGGTTTTTCGTTCTCTGGCAACCTCCGTTCCTCGATATGGTTATT